TTAGAACTGGACATGAAACAACAGACTGGTTCCAAATAGGAAAAGGAGTACATCAAGGCTATATATTGTCACCCTGCTTATTTAACTTATACACAGAGTACATCATGAGAAACACTGAGCGGGATGAAGTACAAGCTGGAATCAAGATTGCTGGGAGAAATATCAACAACCTCAGATATGTAGATGACACCACCCTTTTGGCAGAAAGTGAAGAAGAACTGAAGAGCCTCTTGATGAAAGTGAAAGAAGAGAGTGAAAAAGTTGGCTTAAAGCTCAACATTCAGAAAACAAAGATCATGGCATCCGGTCCTATCACTTCATGGCAAATAGATGGAGAAACAATCGAAACAGTGGCAGACTTTATTTTTGGGGGCTCCAAAATCACTGCAGATGGTGACTGCAGCCATGAAATTAAAAGATGCTTACTCCTTGGAAGAAAAGTTATGACCAACCTAGACAGCATATTAAAAAGCATAGACATTACTTTGCCAACAAGAGTCCATCTGGTCGAAGCTATGGTTTTCCCATTAGTAATGTATGAATGTGAGAGTTGGACTATAAAGCAAGCTGAGCACAGCAGAACTGATGCTTTTGAACTGTGGTGTTGGAGAAGACTCTTGACAGTCCCTTGGACTGCGTGGAGATCCAACCAGTCCATCCTAAAGGAGATCAGTCCTGAGTGTTCATTGGAAGGACTGATGTTGAAGCTGAAGCTCCAATACTTTCCCCACCTGATGTGAAGAGCTGACTCATTTGAAAGACCCTGATGCTTTGAAAGATTGAAGTCAGGAGGAGACGGGGATGACAGAAGATGAGATGGTTGAATGACATCACCAACTCAATGGACATGAGTCTGAGTAAACTCCGGGAGTTGGTGATGGACATGAAGGCCTGGCATGCTGCAGTCCATGGGGTTGCAAAGAGTCGGACACGACTGAGCAACTGAACTGAACTGAATTTTATGTGTCACCAAGTACCTAAATATTTGATCTAACTATTTGAATAAATTATTCTTGGTGTTTCATGTGAGTGTTTTTAGATGAGTTTAACATTAAAATTTACAGAAGAGTAAAGCAGATTGCCTTCCCTTATGTGCGTAGTCCTAATCTAATCAGGTAAAGACCTGAATAGATCAGAAAGGCTGACTCTTCATGAATCAGAGGGAACTCTTTCTGCTTACTGTCTTTGAGCTGAGACATCAATATTATCCTCCCTTTCAATTGAACTGAGATCTGAACCTGTGATCTTTGGACTAGGATTACGCCATTGACTTTGCTGGTTCTCAGACATGGACTGGAACTTAAATCATCAGCTCTCCTGGGTCTCCAGCAGATCTTAAAACTTGTCAGCCTCTGTAATTGCATGAACAGACTCCTTATAGTAAACTCTTTATATAAAATTTTATGTATATATAGGTGCATATATATATATACACATATATATATGCATACATATGTACATATGCACATATGTATATATGAATAGTTCTTTTCTCTGAAGAACCCTGACCAAAACACTTATGAAAAATTTTAGAGCTTGAATTTCATCTAGGTGCATCTCTCTGAGATTAAAATTAATGATAATACATGTATGATTTTTTGGATTGGAGTCAGCAAACTCTAACTTGTGGCTTAAATCTGGCCCACTAATTGTTTTTCTCAATAAAGTTTTATTGGGACATAGACCTGCACATAGACCTGTTCTGAAACACTGTTAATTTATCCATCTTTATCTTGGAGAGGAAAATAGGAATCCCTTGCAATGTGGCCATTAATTACAGGTTGAGAAATATAGATAGATAAATTGAATTTTCTCTGAATGAGGTACTGTGATGTTTAATTTTATGTGTCAACTTGTGTGGGTCACCAAGTACCCAAATATTTGATAAAACTATTTGATCAAATTATTCTGGGTGTTTCTCTGCAGAAGGGAGGGGTCTCCTTATTTACAGCCTTGAATCTTTTATTAACAATGTGTTTTATGATTCTGTGCTGAAGCCCACTAATTGGAATTCTGCATCCTGTAAAATTTTGTTATATATACATGCTGATAAATGCCAAACCGTCAGGCTGTGAAGTCTTTCTAAGGACTTGTGCTTTTATCTGTATGCTAATGGTAGGTTTTTCTGGGGCTCAGACTCTGAAGATGAGCTCTCCTGGTTGTCAGAGTGCCTGCTTTTTGCTGAGAAATAAGTGGTTTGACATCTGAGATAAGGCTTAAAGAGTATTCTGTAGCTGCAAATACAAAAATAGCTCACCGCTTTCATTCAGTGAACAATATTATAACACTTATGAGAAGTGGAATTGATGAGAAGAATAATTTGTCCTTATTAAAAGAATAACTTTAAAGGACTTCTTTGGGCAGTTTTATGTGATCAGCCTGAAATATGAGTTTATTAATGAAGTGTGTTATGTTGGAGGATAATATTTTATTTAGGCCATAATTTGCTGCCTGAATCCTGGGATTTTTTAAAGTATTGTTGAACAAGGCACATACTGTTGTTTAATAGGTGTGCATATTTTTCAAATTCCTATTCAGTAACATTTCAGTGACTTCTGATTTATGAAGTAGAAGACTCTTTTTAAAAATTTCTTATTTTGTCACTCATTACCTTTCAAGTACATACCCAGAGATTCTAATTTAATGGTCTGAGAATTGTCTGGAGTTTTTAAAGCTTTCCATGTGATTATAACATACAACCAACACTAAGAATCACTATCCTAATGAAATAATGGCTTTAGTCCAGTGATTCTTAGAGTGTGGACTGGCTGTACCAACATCACCTGGGAACTTGTTAAAAATACAATTTATTGATCTTACTAAACTGGAAACTCTGGGGGCCCAGGAGTGTGTTTGCTTTTTGATTTTTATTAGGTTATAATTGCTTTACCCTGTTGTGTTAGTTTCTTGGGTACAGTGAAGTGAATCAGGAATCTGTATACGCATAATGCCTTCCCTCTTAAGCATCCCTCCCACCTACGCCATCCTGCCCCTCTAGGTCATCACAGAGCACCAAGCCGAGCTCCCTGTTCTAGGCAGCAGCTTCCCACTTCCCACGTCTGTTTTACACATGATAGTGTAGATAAAAAAGTGAACGTGTTAGTTGCTCAGCCATGTCCAATTCTTTGGGACCCCATGGATTGTAGCCCCGCAGCCTCCTCTGTCCGTGGAATTCTCCCAGCAAGAATACTAGAATGTGTTGTCATTCCCTTCTCCAGGGATCTTCCCAACCCAGGGATCGAACCCGCTTCTCCTGCACTGCAGGTGAATGCTCTGCTGTCCGAGCCAGCAGGAAAGCCCATAGTGTACATATGTCGGTGCTAATGCACTCAGCTTGCCCCACCCTTTCTTCCCCTTGTGTCCACTTGTCTGTTTTCTGTGTCTGTGTCAAGTTCCTGCCCTGAAAATTGACTTACTGGTGACGTTTTTCCCCGTATACCTGCCTTAATACACATATTTGTTTTTCTGACTCACTTCACTCTGTGTAACAGACTCTGTGTCCCTCTACATCACTAAAAAATGACTCAATTTTGTTCTTTTGTATGGCTGAGTAATATTCCTTTGTACCACAATTTCCTTACCCATTCATCTTTTGGTGGACATTTAGGTTGCTTCCCTCCAACAATCTGTATTTTAAGAAACTTGAAAGATGATTCCAGTATTCACTAAAGATTGAGAACTACCGGTGCATAACAGTGTTTTGACATTGCGAGTAATCTTGTCCCCAGAAGACATTTCATCTTATCTGGAAGCACTTTAGATTGTCACAACTTAGGTGTTCACATACAAGTTGTGACTCAAGTTGTGGGTCACAACTTGGAAGGCTTGTGTTTGTGTGTAGTTGATAGAGGCCAGGGATGTGTCAAACACCCTACAGTGCATGGGATAGCCCCTCACGGCAGAGAATTACCTGAATCAAAGTGTCAGTAGTGCTAGTGCTTAGAAACTGATGTATGCTATAGTTTCCCAACCTTGGCTCCCTCTTATGACCAGCTGGGGATTCCAAATTTAGTTTAATTTGGCCAGTGTTAAGGGCAATATGTCTGGATTTTAAAAGCTATCCCCATGATTATATTCACAACCACAATTGAAAATTCTTGCTGAGGACCCTGGTCATTGAGCTGCCTGAAATTAAGTTCTAATGGATAGATCTGGGTGATCTTGAATTAATTTTACTGTAAAAAGTTAAAAAGTAGTCATTATTACTTCCTGATGTGATGTAATAGGAAGGCAAACACCATTTTCTGAAGTGTTCTTGCCAACATTTCTCAACCTTGAACGTGAGCAAGTTTCTAGATTTTTTAATATAACTACCAACTTAGAGGCAGATGTTAAAAAAAACACTGTGAGGATGTCATCAGCAAAGTCAGAACATAGAAAGTACTCCAGGACAAATGATAGTATTTTTTTTTTCCCAACAAATAAATGGGAAGAAGGAAAAAAATAGGAGAACCGTTCTTTGTTGTTGTTTAGTTGCTAAGTTGTGTCTGACTCTTTGGTGACCCCGTGGACTGTAGTCCACCTGGGTCCTCTGTCTATGGGGTTTCCCAGTCATGAATAATAGAGTGGGTAGCAATTCCCTTCTCCAGGGGATCTTGCTGACTCAGAGATCGAACTTGTATCTTCTGCTTGGCAGGTGGATTCTTTACCACCAAGCCACCTGGGAAGCTATAATATATTACACTTCAATAGCACTTAAACTCAGAACAGAGTACTTTTATAGATTTAAGTTTAATAGTAAAAGTGTTCACTGGGAGAGAGGATGAATGGGATTACAGGGAGTAAATGACAAAGAAATGTGTTTAAATCAATTGTTTATTCAGTTCACTGTTATTACTGTTATTTATATTTCCAGCTATATTCTCTCCCACCAAAAAGTATAGCTTTTACAGTTTATCCAGAGCTTTTCCATTTACTTTCTTTTTTAATTGACTTGAAAAATAGAGTCTAAGAATGCAGTATTAAAATTGGGCTTTTTATATTCATATTTTTTTTAACAGAACTGTTCATTACGAAGGTGGTGCTGTGTCGGTTCACGCACGTTCCCTGTGGCGACTAGAGACACTAAGAGTTGCGTAAGTAGAACTTCTGAATGCATCCTGATGCTTTGGGTACAAACGATTGGGCTGGCCAGAATGCTTGTTTGGGTTTTTCTGTAATATCTTATGGAAATACCTCAATGAACTTTTTGGCCAACCGCATATATCTAATGCTCTTGAACTTTTCTGCAAAATGGTCATGCTAACAAACTACACATAGATGAAACACTCTCTTTTTTTACCTTCCCCCTGCATTTATTTACTGTTCACTAGCCTACATTCACCAGGTAATAAGCAATGATTTTATACCATCTGCTTTTTTTCTAGCCTCATTTGTTTTTGTGTTATTGATTCATCCCAGTTTGTGCCTCTTCTCTTGGCAGGAAGAGCTCCTAGTGCAGGGTGATGTAAGGTTTGGAGTCAGGACAAATTATTTGCAGGCCTGTCACACATTTCAGATCAGGGCTTGATCTGAATCACATTTCAGATTACAAAGGCATATGTAAACCAGTGGGAACTTGAACCCGAATGAGGTGTCAGAGTCATCACTACGAGTCACTATCTTTACTTAAAACTAGCTTGGTAGCCGAGTGAGAAATATGAATTGAAAACAGACTCACTGTGTATTCATTATACAAATAATGATTATCTTTTTTTTCTGGTGACTTCAAAAAGCTGTCCAGAGATGGACTTTTAGTTACTCTAAGTAAATGCGATTCTGATGATAAGGGTGTCATTTTGAACTATTTTAAATAGAATTTAAGTATCAGTCAAATTAAAAAAAAGAGTAGAAGGTCATTCCTTTGTCCAGAAAACAGAGTTTTCAACGCATTTTTTCCCTGTTATATTACACTTTAAAAATTTATTGATTTAGGGTAATAGACTTTCGTGGATGTGTGTAGGGAACTGTCTTATTATGGAATTGCTGTATTTTATTAACTTGATATTTTGAGGTTAATGATTAAAATAGTTCAGTGGTCTTCAGGGTTTATTTTATTTTATTTTTTTGCTTATGTACTCTGTACAATAATTTCAAAAACTCTGTATTTCTTTGAACATTGCTAGGCTCAACATAGAATTTTTTTCATTATCAGTTTACATGGATGCATAGAATATAACTTACAGTGTATTTTAAGTAGCAACATTTTAAGATAACATGAGTAAACTACTCTCATAAAAGTATCCTATTGACCTTGTGTACTTCTGCAATTTAATGCCCATCTTTATTTATTTAAAAATGCTTGAACATGGTTATTATATTCAGTGGTCACATAATTACTTACCTTTCTTTGGAAGTGATATTCAAATTACTGCTTATGTGTATAACAGAACTATATACCAAAGGTCAATGTTTATATTGTAATCTTTGGGATACCATATGGTTTTTTTCTCCAGTGAGGTGCCAAACTATATATTTGTAATAATTTATGTAATCCAGTAATAATATGTTTTATATTACAATATCATACAAATAACATTAATTGTGTCAAAAGTTTTTCAGTATCATAAACTTTTTAATGAAGTAAGCTTTAATTGGGGAAGTCAAATGTAGTAGAAAACACATTCCTATATTATACTCCAATGCAAAATTTAAGACTATTATATGTAGGATATGTGTTGGCTTCTGTAATAGAAATGATCACTGCAATTATAAATACACATTATGTATACTTAAAATTCTACTTTCTTATGTTACAAATTAAAAAAAAATTAACATCCTCATTCCTTTGAGATATTTACAAGTAGATGTAGATAATACATTGGGAACAGTTGTCTAGTACGTTAACATAGGAAACTGGTTTATATAAGTACTTTATTTCAACTGTTTTCAGGTTTTACTGAAATATTAGTTTCTTGCCCTTGATTCTCCTGTCCTTGTCCTCATTTCTTTTGGACCATGAACACATGAGATGAGCTAATTTGAGCGCTTGTGAGCTAAAGAAAATGTGCTTAGATTTCACAATATTTGACTGAGAATTGGGCAAGTTCATTCTATTTCTAACAGAATTCCCTTGGTGGATTGAGAAGAGTACTTATATATATGAACGCTATTAGTTTTGAGCTCAAATAGATTTGAACATGGGATCCAGAATCCTGTCTAGATGTTCTGGTGAAAACTATGTGTTTCAGGACATATTTATGGACTTTTTGAAAATGAAGTTGTTTTCTCTGGGTAGGATGAGTCATTATTTGATAAAATATTCAAATGCTCCTTGAAATAATGGAATGGTATTAAAAATAATTGCTTTTTTGTAGCATCTGCAAACAGTACACTTAATTTTATGAGGGGAATACACAAAGCTTTTCTATTACCAGATTAGAAATGCTTTAACATGCTATTGTTGGTAAACAAACTTAAATTTCATTTTTAAGGCACTACTGTGTTATTATCAGGATTTATTGGTGCATGGTTATTATTTTAGTAGGAGGACTTATCCAAAATAATTATCTTTGTAAACATTTCCATGTAAAACTTGAACTTATTGCAGTATCATCCTAGTATTAATTTTCCAGGCTAATATTTCAGGTTAAGAAAAATCCAAGTTAGGGAAACAGCATTCAGTTCAGTTGCTCAGTCGTGTCTGACTCTTTGCCACACCATGAACTGCAGCATGCCAGGCCTGTTTGTCCATCACCCAAACTCATGTCCATTGAGTCGGTGATGCCATCCAACCATCTCATCCTCTGTCATCCCCTTCTCCTCCTGCCCTCAATCTTTCGCACCATTAGGGTCTTTTCAAATGAGTCAGCTCTTTGCATCAAGTGGCCAAAGTATTGGAGTTGTATCTTCAATATCAGTCCTTCCAATGAACACCCAGGACTGACCTCCTTTAGGATGGACTGGTTGGATCGCCTTGCAGTCCAAGGGACTTTCAAGAGTCTTCTCCAACACCACAGTTCAAAAGCATCAATTCTTCGGCGCTTAGCTTTCTTTATAGTCCAACAACAGCATAAAATTGATTTAAAGATAATTTGTTGAAACAAAATTGACATTAATAAATCTACTGCAAATCTAAAAAAATAAATGCAGTGTTCATAACTCATAGAACCTAAAAGTTTTTAATGATTCTGTATGGAAACAAGTTTATTAATTAATAAATCATATTGGAATCCTCTACATATTTATTTTTTATCTGTTTGATTTGTTTGTAGTGGTAAGAGCTTCTCCTGTAATTATCTTTTAAAAATTTATGCTTGTGTGTCTTGTGTTTCATTTTCTGTGTGCCATTGGCATGTGAAGCTTCATGAAATAGTGCATTCTTTTTAGAGCATATCTTTCTCATTATAATCAACTGTATCCTCTTTATGGGCTTCCCAGGTGGCTCAGTAGTAAAGAACCTGCCTACCAAGCAGGATATGCAAGTTTGATCCCTGGCTCAGGAAGATTCCCTAGAGAAGAAAGTGATAACCCACTCCAGTAATCTTGCCTGGGAAATCCTATGGACAGAGGAGCCTGGCGGGTTACCGTCCATGGGGTCGTGAATGAGTTGGACATGACTTAATAACTCCACAACAACAATAAAGCTCCTTTATACTTTTTGCCTTGAATTTTAATTTGTCTGATAGCAATTTTGCCATCATTATTTTCTCTTGGTTTTATGGGCATGGTGAATCTTTCTAATTTTTACCTTATTGAAAAAAAATTTGATTTTTAGCACATTTCTTATCATTGATAAGAGGCTGTCTTTGCTTTGCACACTAGCATGATAACTGAAAGTCTCCATTATTGGAACTTTGCTTCCACTCTTTACCATAGTGAGTGCAAGGTTCTGTTATATATAGCTTTCAGCTAACACAGTTCTGTACAATGTGAGAATGGTCTGTATCTTTGTTTTTCTTTTCTTCTCTATTCGAAATCGAGTGTTTTTAAAAGCAGATTTTGATAATCACAATTTTGCTTTTTATCTTTTTTCTGCAACTTTAGTTTTCATTTTCTGTGCTTTACTTGCACATTTTCTTGCCTTTTTTTCTCTTGACCCTATTCAAATTTGGTTTCTTCATTTGTCTCTTTTGTTCCTTGATTTTTGTTGACATCATTGTTCCATATTATTAAAATTTAAAGCATAAGATGAGATTTCTTTTTCTCAGATAAATGTATAATTCAGTTTGTATATATGAATTCCAGTTAATATAATTAGGCATTAACTTTAGTACCACTTGCCTTCAAATCTGTTCAAATCCAACAAAAAACTAGTAAATCCTAGTTTATGGGTTTTATGAGTTTAAAGTGTCATTTTAATCTTATAATGTCTTTATCTGTGACTAGTGATTAGAAATTAGAACATAAGTTCTTAGTCATCTTAGTAGTGTTTGGTGTGGATAGTATTACATTTAATGTCAGAAGACCTTGAGATAAATTTTGCTTCTACTTATTATTATCTACGTGACATTGAATGTTACCTATAACCATTCCAAATAACCATTTTGTTATTTGTGAAATAAAAATACTGCCACCATCATAAGGTCTTTGGAAACACTCAGGAAGACAGTGTATGTAAAACCTCCTTTTTCATCGTCTGACACATACATTTTAATTGCTGTTTCTCCTGTCATTGTGTTTGCTCTTGAATCAAGTCTTAACATTTTTTGTTAGGTGGAGTGGAAGCCACATAAGATGGGGACAACCTTTTCGACTGCGCCATGTCACAACAGGAAAATACTTGAGTCTCATGGAAGACAAAAGCCTTCTACTCATGGACAAAGAGAAAGCTGATGTCAAATCAACTGCATTTACCTTCCGATCTTCCAAGGTAAGACGGATATAATTTTGGATTTCCCACTGCATTTCTTTTGATGTTAGAAATACAAAGAAAAATGATGTATGTTTTACACAAATTTCTAAATTCCCAGTTACTCTTCTATTCATTCCTCTTCAGTCAAATCCATTTCCTAAACCAGTAAAACCTGCCCAGGTGTTTCACTTGGTTTATCCTTCTTTGGTTATTTGCATGTAGCATATCCATCCAACTCCTTTTAGTTTTCTTAGGCATTGACAGTACAGTAAGTACAGACCTTGTGCTTGCTGTTGCATAACAGTGTGAGGGGCACATCAGCAGAACCTTTTCCTCACAGGCTCGGTTACATATCTGCTCTTACATACAGACCTTTCTTCTTAGGTCTGTTGAATCCTGTGTAAGGACAAAACATCTAAGAATGTCCTTAGATCTTTCATGAGAATTCTCTGAAGTAGATGTTGAGTAGACTAGACAAAATAAGTGCATATCAAAGTCAGGTTGAAATGCTGGTGCACAGTTAGACTCTCTCAGTACCTGATATGTGTGTGTGTGTGTGTGTGTGTGTGTGTGAGCTGAGTCGTGTCTGACTCTTTGTGGTCCTGTAGACTGTAGCTGAGTTGTGTCTGACTTTTTGTGGCCCCATAGACTGTAGTCCACCAGGCTCCTTTGTCTGTGAAAATCTCCAGTCAAGAATAATGGAGTGGATTGCCATTTCCTACTTCAAGGGATCTTCTCAACCTAGGGATCAAACCTGTGTCTCTTATCCAGGTCTCTTACATTTCCTGCATTGGCAGACAGGTTCTTTACAACTAGCACCACCTAGGAAGCCATAGTACCTGATGAGATTCCCAGCTCACCAACCCCACCATGCAGTGGATTGCTAACCATGCCTCAGCAAAACAGCACATGTCCTGAACAGTCAAGTGTCTCAGGAAAGCTGAAAACCGCTTATTCATTTGACATGTGACAAGTGCCTGCTGTGTGCCTTTTTGAGATAATTGTATATTTCTGTCCTTAAGTTAAAGATTATTGTGAAATTTGGGCATTGTGTTAGAAATGGTATTGAATTACTGGTTAGCTTTGTCTCAGAGATGCATAACTTTATGCCCGTGTTACAGATAAAGGTATGTTTGAGCAAGACCAGAACTAACTCTGAAAAGGTAGTAGCCTGAGTTTACATCTCTAGTGCCATCTCTCAGTTCTCTTGCTTTGGAAGACACAGAATGGTGGAAGATGCTTCTGATTTGGTGAGTTCTCCCAAGCTTTCCAGGAACGACATCCAGTGCAGGTCCCTATTCATTCTGGTGGAAACAGACAAGCTGGTCAGTTCCAGTGGATAATCTGAGACAGAATCAGCATTTGTAGTTGTTATAGGCACCTACAGGGGAGCTCTGAAGGGAGAGTACTTGGGTGGACTTTCTTTAGTTGGAAAGCGCAGTTGATCACATTGTGAACAGACTTGGTGCCAGTGGGCTTCTTCCTCAAGACTTTCACCACAGAGATGGGAATTTACTGGTTTATCCACTGATAATCCCTCAGTCCAGAAAGACAAAAAAATTCAACCTGCCAACGATGATCAGTTATCTGATGGTGAAAGCCCTTTTCAAGAAAAAAAGATGGCAGAAAATTGGAAAAGTGCAAAGAAATGCATGACATCCCAGCAAAAAGTATCTACTGAAATAAAATCCCAGAGAAGGGGAAAAATATGAACATGCAAATCACATTGGAATAGCATTAGAAATTTTTCCAAGACATGGCATTTAAAAAGGTAAATATATATCTAACAAAAACTGGAGGTGAAAGAAAAGTAAAAGGTGTTCTGATTGCTTCCAGTAAAATAGTGATAAGTCAAATAATATTTTCTTAAAATTTCAAAGTCAAGTAACAAACAAGATATTTCTGAGTAAAAATCCAAACATTCAACTGTAGTAAAATTTACTGAACAAAGGTAGTGGAAGAAAGGGAAGTCTGTACAAGAAAGGAAGTGGACATTTTTTCACCCAGAACATATGAGGGCTGACTTGATCTCAACTGGGAGCAAGGAAGATGCTGATAGTCCATGCCTTCCTAAACCTTGTTTCAGGCACTGGGAAGCAGGGACCCCTTTTTCCCTAAATCCTTCACCTTTTAAAGATGATAATTGCTACCATTCTGTGATTCTCGGTAAGTCTACAGTTTGAGCTGAGTATTTTCTGTAAGTGATCTCACTGAGAAACAGGATCCCCATTTTACAGATGGAAAAACTAAAGGCAGGAGAGATGAGTCACTTGTCCACCTTCTATGCATAGTCACTTAGCTGGGTGTATAGAAGAGCTGGTGAACATGAGGTTAACCCTGCTCCAAACCACTGCCCAGGGTGAGTTTCAATAACCAGGCCTGATCTCCAGGTCTGGAACCCTGTACTGGCTAGTCACCCATTCACCCTCAAGGCTGTCAGAGCTGCCCCAGGACCTCATGCAGTCAAGCGCTTTCTTGTCTGCTCTCCAGGCTCCCAGGCAGCTGCCAGACACTATTGTCTAATTGTGGTCTCCTCAGTTCTTGTTATTGCTGGAGAAATCTGAAATTCATCTTTCTCTTTTCATTATTTCTCTAACAATCATATTCCTATAGTCTTCAGAAATCCTATTTTGCTATAGAAAGCTGAATACCTCCACAATCTTTCTCTTTTCAGTCTTTCTACTATAACAGTCCTACTTCTCCAGGAGGCAAATGGATGCCTCTAGCTTTTTTAGACTCCAAAATCACTGCAGATGGTGACTGTGGCCATGAAATTAAAAGATGCTTACTCCTTGGAAGGAAAGTTATGACCAACCTAGATAGCATATTAAAAGCAGAGACACTACTTTGCCGACAAAGGTTCATCTACTCAAAGCAATGGTTTTCCCAGTGGTCATGTACGGATGTGAGAGTTGGACTATAAAGCAAGCTGAGCGCAGCAGAACTGATGCTTTTGAACTGTGGTGTTGGAGAAGACTCTTGACAGTCCCTTGGACTGCGAGGAGATACAACCAGTCCATCCTAAAGGAGATCAGTCCCGAGTGTTCATTGGAAGGACTAATGTTGAAGCTGAAACTCCAATACTCTGGCCACCTGGTGTGAAGAGCTGACTCATTTGAAAGACCCTGATGCTGGGAAAGATTGAAGGCGGGAGAAGAAGGGGACGACAGAGGATGAGATGGTTGGATGGCATCACCAACTCAATGGACATGAGTTTGGATGGGCTCCGGGAGTTGGTGATGGACATGGAGGCCTGGTGTGCTGCAGTCCATAGGGTTGCAAACAGCTGGACATGACTGAGCTACTGAACTGAACTGAGCAAAACAGGGTCTGGGTTATTGCTACTGAAATGCAAACACAAAACAGACACATATATTAACATTTCAAAATGTCTTGCATACATGCCTCCATTGATCTAGCAACATTCTATATAAGTGCATTTTAAATGAGAGGGGTTTTCTTATAGAAATAAATAAAACTGTGCATATTACCTTTATCATTCCTTGCCATGGCAAAAAAAAAAAAAACCTGGTAAAGACTCAAATGTTTAACAAATATTAATAGAGTTGGTAACTTAGTGGTATTAGCTATGAGAATATATTGATTTGGAAAGATATCCATCATAATATATATTGTTGAGTAAAAAAAGCAAATTAGAATGCAATTTAAAAATCTCACCTTTTTTTAAAAGTGAAGAAAATGACCCCAGTGTGTGTTTGTATATGATTATATGTTAGATGTGAAAAATCTGCGCTAATCTTTTAATTTTGACTGCTTTAGAAAGATCTAAATGGAGGAGGCAGGAGAAAGAAGAAAGGATTGGGAGGTTGAGGTTAGCAAATGCAAACTATTATGTAGAGAATGGATAAACATCAAGGTCCTACTGTACAACAGGGAACTATATTTAAACTCTTGTGATAAACCATAATGGAAAGAATATGAGAAAGAATGTGCATATATATGGAACTGAATCATTCTGCTATACAGTGAGAATTAACACAACATCGCAAATCAACTATACTTCAATAAAATATAAAAAATAAAACTAAAAAACAGATCAATATGGAAGGTATATGAGAATATGAGTGCAAGGGGAAAGATTTTATTTAAGTTAAAAAAAATCTCTGGTTGTTTTGCCTGTTATGATAGCCATTTTTTCCTTTGTAACAAAAAAATCTGTTAAAAAATTCAATCATTGCACTGACATATTTGGACATAAGTCTTGTGCACGTTTTAAATTTCTTTCTTTACGGGGAGACCTCGAATCAGAAATACTGACTCAAAAGCTATGAATATTTTCAAAATCTCGAAACAGTTCTCATCCAAAGCAATAGCTTTTGAAACATTTCCCCATAAATATCTCTGCTTTTGTTCTGTCAGTGTTATTATAGTTTGCATTTGAAGAATTTTTACTGACCAGATTCTTCTGTTGTCTCTGCTCAGAGGTTCTGTTTCTGGCTTTTGGTGATTGCATACTGTCATAGCTGACGTTGAAAAAACAGAGAACTGAAATTTCAGTATTGCCTTTTAATGAACTGTTTGCATGCATATGTACATGCTTAGTTGCTTCAGTCATGTTTGACTCTCTGTCACCCCTTGGACTGTAACCTGCGAGGCTCCTCTGTCCATGGGATTCTCCAGGGAAGAATACTGGAGTGAGTTTCCAAGCCCTCCTCCAGGGGATCTTCCCAACCCAGGGATCACACCCAGGTCTCTTAAGTCTCCTGTACTGGCGGGTGGGTTCTTTACCCCTGCCACCACCTGGGAAACCCAATGAGCTGTTTGATTTCTCTAAAACTGGTCTCCTATATGGAGCTCACATTCATGGAACCACGCTAATACACAGGTTGCTAATAACACACTATCAGTTTGTGTGTAACATGGTTGAGATTCATGAAAACAGAGGTGAAATCAAGGAAAACATTTTATTTTTTTATTTAATTTATTTTATTGAAGTATAGGTGATTTCGTGTTATGTTGTTTTGTGCTGTATAGCAATATGATTCAGTTGTACATGT